CTGCGCTGGCCACAGCAACAACAAAGCAGCACTGCCAGAATTGCCCGCGCATCGCCACGGGACTACATCACTACCACAGGTCTGCACACGACATTGTGGCGTTAGAATCTGTCTGCGAGCGAAGCATGACGGCTTGAGCCAAAAATGCTTGAGCCTGAATGGCTACTTATTCAACCATTCTGGTGATGACTCCCATTGATCACTCGGAGCCTGAAGGCTGCGCGCAAGCCCAGATTGAGGCGCAAGCCTACGAGCGCAAGCCGAAGCACCACTTTCCCGATCCAGGATGCACACGTTCGGAGCTCGCACAGACGACGTGCACTGCAAAGAGTAAAGCACCAATAACCTGACTGGCCCACATGACAGCGATAACAGTTTCGTGTAGATGTGCAGCGTCGACCAACGTAGTTCAATACGTTACAACAAGAGAACCCCCAATCAGCGGATGTCCTGAAATGTTCGCAGGTATTCCGCGCCTGTCCCCACGGAAAGCCACCAACACTACTCCTGTGAACAATGTCTGCCGTATCCACTCCTGTGAAAAGTGTCTGCCGTGAACACTACTCCTGTGCACAGATGCATCTCTCTCTCTCTCTAGCTCGCTCGCTCTCCCTCTCTCTCTCCCTCTGTCCCTCTCGCTCTCTCCTTGAGTGATCACTCGAAGAAAGGGTGGAAGGAAAACGGCCCTCGTGGTAACCCATCCATGGGGAAGACCGAGTCGGAGAGGAGGGGGCTCCTCTGGCCCCAGCGAGCCCTGGCCGCGAAGAGGTCACCCGACCCAGCCATGAGGGACGGCGCGAAAGCCAGAGCCCCTCCCGAGCCCATAGTGCTGGAGCGAGCACGCGGGGGAGGAGGAGGAGGAGGAGGAGGAGGAGGAGGAGGAGGAGGAGGAGGAGGAGGAGGAGGAGGAGGAGGAGGAGGAGGAGGAGGAGGCGGAGGAGGAGGAGGAGGAGGAGGAGGAGGAGGAGGAGGAGGAGGAGGAGGAGGAGGAGGCGTGGGGAGCGGCGGCGGCGGCATCTCCTCGGCATCTCTTCCTCCCCCTCTCGCCGCACAGTCGCGCACAGGGCATCCGACTGGGTTGCTTCTGGGGGGGGCCTCCGGGGGGAGTCTGCTGGGTATCGGGCTGCCTATCGACGCACTCCAGAACCGCCTTCGTGTAGACGCTCAGACGCTCACTTCCTGATGCACTGATTTGGATTATCTTTCGCATCATGTGGTCGCGTTTGGCTTTCCAAGCTCAAACATGTGTGACAGGGAACTCTTCGAGGTCCACGGCGGTTGGGTGGTCATGGTGGCCAGGGGGACGGTCATGAGGGCGCAAGGGCGGGGCTGGGACACCACGTGCGCACGCCAGGGGGCTGCCTTGGCGCCTTCCCCGGCGAAGTTGGAGAGGGCTGGGGCCGGGCCATTTGCGAGCCGATACCGTTGAGGCAAACATTTGTGCAACGAGGACCGCGTGGCGTCACCAACATCCCATGCCACGCATGCGGGCCGAACGTATGGAAAACACAACGCTAACGTACAAGTTTGCACCCGAGCTCCACGAGTCCCTAGGCAGCACTGGTGCCAGTTCAAGCTGATTGTGGCTCGCGGGGTCCAACTCCTGCTTCGCTTGACACGGGTTGCGTAGCAAGGAAAGCCCGCTGTCAATGTCAATACGCTGCCTTGCTGGCGCCTGTAAAGGAAATCCCATCAGGCCTCTGGGCGTGAGTGGTCTGGGGACCCTGTTTTGCTGACCCCGTTCTTCCCCTTCGGGCAGGGGTCCCCCCCCCCTGGAAGGGGGGAGGGTGAGTGGTTAGAGCGTCCAAGATGGCCCAAGATGGCTCCAAGAGGGCACCAAGATGCCCAAGATGGCCTTCACGACCGCTGAATAGAAATAGCCCAAGATGGCTCAAGGCAACTTCCAACATGCCTTCAATAATTCAACAGCCCTGAAGACCGCCTCAGGCCGGCCTCGCGTGCCCTCCGAGCCTCCCAAGGAGGCCCCCAGGAGGCCAATCCCAGTCAACAACATACGTTGCTGCTTGTTTTGTTACGCGCTTAGGCTTCTGATTATTTCGCTTGTGATGGGTTGGTGAGGCCTCAGGGTAGCTACAAGGTGGCCCAAAACGGCCCCAAGAGGGGATCCAAGACGACTCCAAGAGCGCCCAACAGCGCCCGAAGATCGGCCCAAGAGGCGGGTTTGACGTCCATGACGGGGGCACCGCAAGTGACGCCGCCCCCTTTTTCGATCGATGGCCTTCAAGGTGGCCCCAAGAGGGCCCCCAAAGCCTCCAAATGGGCTCCACTCCACCTCTCCACCAACCTTCCAGACCCCCCCCCACCCCGACTCAAGTTCCAGAGCAACTCAACACAAGCTCCTAGAGATCCTTCTTGCCTTTCCGAAGATAACGGCTGTCATCTGTTTTTCCACTGCATGCTGCTACACATTCCTGATCAGGACAATTCCCCTGGCGACTGCTTGTGGATGGAGTGGTGGGGTTATTTTTTTGTTCGCGAACGCAAGCGGAAAAGGGCTGCGCGCCGTCCAAGGTTACAGCTAAACAAGCAGAAGCCTAAACTGCACATGAGAGAGAAAGAGAGAGGAAAAGGAAGAGTGCTGGGGATACTTTTTGGTTTGCGGGCTAGCGAAGCGAGCGCGCGGGCAGCCACTCAGAAGTGCACCAGGAACGGCACTCCCAGCCCGGTGTCGTGGAAATCCCGGTGGCGACCAGCAAGTAGGCGCAGCGCAGCCAAAATGGCGCGGCGGCGCGACCATGAACACGCAGAAGTCGATCACCCGGTGTGAGTCGGCATAGGGCCCGACGAAAACGAGCAGGTCCGACAGGCACATCAGGGTGACATCCGTGCCGTAGGTGACACAACAGCATCGTGTCGGCGCCGGAGTGAAGAGGGGGCAGCCTCGTCACAGACAGGACTGCAAACGGCAGATCCTCTGGTATGTACACCTGGTGGCACAGGTCGAAAGCGAAGTCCATGAAGGAGAAAGCAGCCGACGGGCGCCCAGAGCCACACATGCCAAAACCCTTGCACCGAGTGGTGGGGATACTTTTTTAGTCAGCGGCCGCGGGCGAGCGCGCCGGCGGCGAGTCCAGTCACAGCGGGGCACGCAATGACATATTCACCTAAAGCAGCGGAGGGCGGCCTCACCTAAAGCGGCGAAGCGGGGCCCCACGCAGCACCCCAGCGGCGGACCGGCCAGAAGAGGGGGCAGCAGAAACAGAGCCGTACAGCCAGCGTGCAGGTATGCATGGCGTCGGAAGCACCAGGGGCAGAAGCCGAGTGATTAATGCATGGGCGCGAACCCCGGACAACTGCGGGAGTACCAGGGTGGCCGCAGCCGGGAGGACCGACGGTCAAGGTCGAATTGATGTTGAATTGGGCGAGAGCGTTGGCGGGCTGCGAGAACCCAGGGTGGCCGAAGCCGCAAAGTCCCACGGCAGCAGAACGCACGAGCACGAGAAGCAGCAAAGCTGCCGCGCAGCCAAAATGGCGCGGGTCACCACGGACAAGTGCGTGAAGTGGCGCCAGGATAGGCGCACACCACGAGCCCTGAAAAGAATCACGAATCCGAAGTCAGCACACCGAAGGTGGCGACAAGCGAGCAACGGCACCACGGGGAAGACCCGGGACTGAGACCAGGGATGCGACCGCAGCGTGGTAGGAGCACGGAAGCCTGAGCGGTGTCATAGACGGCCGTCGGCCCCGCGGAGGGGAAGATAAACCGCGACTTGGGCGGAAAAGCGAGAAGCCAGTACGGTGGGGGACGACACCACCGACCGACGGGGAGAGCGGAGGCCAAGCCGAGGGGGGGGGGACACCCCGACCCGGCGGGCCGCCCGGAAGCGCGGGATAGTGTGGTGGGGATGTTTTTTTTTTTTTGTTTTTACAGCCGCAGGCGGAAGCGCCCGAGTGGTGGGGATGCGCGAAGCGTCAAGAATTAAACTCGGGGCTCGCGACCAGCATCTCTCAGAGCGAAGGTGCCCGACACCCAAGTCACATATTTTCACACGTCATGTCGACATTGATGCAACGCAATGAACTGGCTGCCCCCGCATCAAGTTGCTGAGACATGGCGAACGCCTGCTCCCATTCACCATCCTGCTCGAGCGTGCAGGACGTGGGCTCCAGCTGCGGCTCCCCTCGACTGTCCGGCAGCGACAACTCCTGCTCCTTCCGCCCACTTCTCTCGCACGCGCTGGCCCCTGCGCTTCAGCTGCTACAGTCCTCGTGCGGCCATGTTTTAAAGAAGCGCTGAACAAGGAGCGAAGGGGCTGTTCTGGCCACGGCGGACCTCGACCAAGAAGAGGCTCCCCGACCTAGATCCTCGGAACGGCCTGCAAACCAGAGCCTCCCCCCCCCTGAGCCCGACGTGGACCTGATTTCGGCGAATTGACTGTATGCAGCGCGAGCCTGTGGAAAGCCCATGGCCTGCAGGGCCAGGGAGGGAGGGAGATGGGGGAGGAGGATGGCAGGGGGGAGGGAGGGAGGAGGAAAGACCCTGACCTCTTCCTCCTCCCTCCTCCTCCTCCTCCTCCTCATCCTCCTCTCCTCTCCTCCCTCCTCCATACTACTCCTCCCCACTCCACATCCTCCTCACTCCTCCCCTCCCCTCCTTCCTCATCCTCCTCCGCCTCCTCGCTCCCCCTACCTCCTCCTCCTATCGAAGACGCCTACGGCGAAAATCAAGCCGCCCCCTGCCCTTTTTGGGAAGCGCCTGGCCCAGCGTTCCACAGTGTTTTTTTTTTTTTCTTTCTTTTTGTGGTCGAACACCGTCGGGGAACACCGAGTCGGGCGAGCTATCGGACCAGGTGGTTTCCAAGCTTTCGGGCCTCCTTGAGGACGTCTTGGAGGGGTCTTGGGCCGTCTTGGAGGCCTCTGGCGGGCCTTTTGGGCAGTCGAATGCCATCTTCAGGCCACCTGGGGCCGTCTTGGGTGCATCTCGGGGCCATATTCGCTGTCTTTGAGGCCTTCTTGGCCGTCTTGGTAGCATCTAGGAGGCCGTCTTGGCCCCTTGGGCGCTCTTGGGTCGATGTTTGGGGCCGCTTGGGCCGTCTTGGGCCGTCGGAGAGCTGAAAAGAAGACAGTGCCCAAATCCGTCAAAAACCATATGGAAATCAATGACTTTACCCTGTCGGGCCTTCCTGGAGGACGCCTTGGAAGGCTCGTGGGCCGTCTGAGAGGCCTCTTGCGGGCCTATAGGGCAGTCTTAGGCCATCTGGAGGCCATCTCAAGCCGTCTTTGGTGCATCATCGGGCCATCTTAGCCGTCTTGACGGCCATCTTGGGCGTCTTGGAAGCATCTTGGAGGCCACCTTGGCCGTCTTGGAGGCTATATTGGGCGCTGTGGGGGCTCCTTGGGCCGTCTTGGGGCCGTCTTGGGGCCCTCTTGGGCTGTCATGGGGCCATTCTGGAGGCCTCTTGGGCGCTCTTGGGTCGATGTTGGGGGCCGCGTGGGCCGTCTTGGGCCGTCGGAGAGCTGCAAAGGAGCGAGGGCCAAAATCCTCCCAAAACGTAAGGCCAAACAATGATTTTAACCCTGTCGGGCCTTCCTGGATGACGAGGGGTCTTGGGCCGTCTTGGAGGCCTCTTGCGGGCCTTCTGGGCAGTCTTAGGCTTAAGTCGTGCGTGTCCCCTTACAAGGGGGATTTGGGGCGAACAGTTTTTTTTTAGAGAAAAAACTTACAACATACCCCCAAATGGCACAAAAAAAAACAAAAAATCGTCCCTGGACTATGTTTGACTATTTTGGAATATTCCCCCTGTCTAGGGACGTGCCCGACTTTATCTTAGGCCATCTTCAAGCCATCTTGGGCCGTCTTGGGTACATCTTGGAGCCATCTTGGCCGTCTTGGAAGCATCTTGGAGGCCATCTTGGCAGTCTTGGAGGCCATCTGGGGCTTCGTGGAGGCCTCTTGGGCCGTCTTGGGGCCTTCTTGCGGCCGTCTTGGGGGCCTTTTTGAGCCGTCCTGGGGCCGCCTTGGAGGCTTCTTGGGCACTCTTGGGGCGATCTTGATGGCCTGGGCCGTCGGAAGGCCGAAAAGGAGCAACAGCCCAAATCCTTCAAACACCTAAGGAAAATCATGATTTTGACATCTGCGGGCCGTCCTTGAGGACCCTGGGGGACCTCATCGAAGCCTCTTGGGCCGTCTTGGAGGCCTCTTGGAGGCCTCTGGGACCGTCTTGGGCCGTCTTAGGTGTTTCTTGTGCGACCTTGGAAGCATCCTGGACTCTCTTGGGCCGGCGTCGAGACCATATTGGACCATCTTGGGTGAACTTGGAGGCATCTTGGCCATCTTGGAGGCCATGGTAGCCGTCTGGAGCCGAAAAACCCTTTGCAACCGCATGTTGTGCACTTTTATGCGCCCTTCCGGGTGGCTGGCGGGACGGGCCGAAGCCCCAGGTGGAGTTCTTTTGGAAAAAAAGACCGAAACCAAAAGCGAAAGAATCCAGCACGCCGCGCACCCCTGTGGCAAGCCAACAGGGGGCGGCGGATCGAAGACGCCTACGGCGAATCGCCGCCGCCCCCTGCCCTTGGGAAGCGCCTCTGTGGCCGACAGCTGGGCCAGAGCTTGACCCAACTATCGGGCCAGTTGTTCCCCGAGAAAAAACTTCGGGGAGCGCATGGGGGAGCAAGAAGAGGAGGAGGGGGAGGATGAGGAAACAAGAGGACGAGGAGAAGGAGGAGGAGGAGGAGGAGGAGGAGGAGGCCTCTTGGGCGCTTCTTGGGGCACTCTTGGGGCCTCCTGGGAGCTTCCTGGGGGCCTCTTGGAGGGTTTGGTGGCCTTTTAGGGCTTCTTGGGGGCCTCTTTGGCCGTCTTAGGGCGTTCCTGGCTAGTCTAACGCCGTCGGAAGCCGTTTCGGGAGCCTGTCTGGGTCGTCTTGGGGCCCTCGTGGGGCAGATCAGGGATTCTTACAGACCATCTTGGGCGTCTTGGAGGCCTCTTGGGCCGCATTGGGGCCCTCTTGGGGGCATCTTGGGCCGTCATGGGGCCCTCTTGGATGCCTCTTTGGCGACTTGGGGGCCTCTTGCGCCGTCTTGAGCCGTCGTAATGCCGAGAATAAGCAAACGCCAAAATCTGTCAAAAACCTTAAGACGATCAATGGTTTTGGTCTCTTCGTGCCCTCCTGGAAGACCTCCTGGACGCCTTTTGGGCCTTCTTGGAGGCCTCTTGGGGGCCTCTTGGGCCGTTTTGGGCCATCTTAGGCCGTCTTGGGTGCATCTTAGGCCGTCTTGGAGGCATCTTGGTACCATCTTAGCCGTCTTGGATGCCATTTTGGCCGCCTTGGAGGCCTCTTAGGCCCTCTTGGGGGCATCTTGGGGGCATCTTGGGCCGTCATGGGGCCATCTTGGAGGCCTCGTGGGCGATCTTGGGGGCCTTTTGGGCCGTCGGAACCCGAAAAGGCGAAAGTGCCAAAATCCTTCAGGAACCTGAGGAAATCAACCATTTTGGCCTCTTCGGGCCTTCCTGGAGGACCTCTTGGAGGCCTCTTGGGCTATCTTGGAGACCTCTTAGGGGCCTCTTGGGCCGTCTTGGTCTTGGGCCATCTTGAGGCCATCTTAGGCCGTCTTCGGTGCATCTTGGGCCGTCTGGGAGACATTTTGGGGCCATCCTAGCATTGTAATCCCGGAATTGAATGACAAGGCCGCAGCAGTTAATGTGCTATTAATAGGGAATACATAGAAATCACGTTTTCCTATTAATAGGGAAACATGGAGAACACATGCTCCTATTAAGATGGAACAAATAGAAAACACGTTTTCCGAAACATAGAACATACTATATATATATATAGACATACATATATATATATATATATGAAGCATGATAAAATTCTGGGGGGCGCCCGGTACTTCGGGGGGGGGGGGCTCGTTGTCCGGGGGAGGCATCTTGGAGGCCATCTTGGTCGTCTTGGAGGCATCTTGGAGGCCATCTTGGGCCATCTTGAGCGAAACATTCAAGAATTGAGATCCTAGGCAATCTTTCCAGGTGGCTGACGGGACGGGCCGAAAGCCCTAGGGGAGTTCTTTGAGAAAAAAAACAAAACCAAAACAGAACGGATTCAGCACGCCAGGCACCCCTGCGATGAATCGACAGGGGACGGCGGATCGAAGACGCCTAGGGCGAATCACTGCGGACCCCTGCCTTTTTGGAAGCGCCTACGTGGCCGAACGTTGAGGCCAGACCTGCCAAGCCATCGGACCATGTGTTCCCCGAATCGATTTGGAAAGCCTTCGGGGAACGCGTGGGCATCTTGAAGGTCATCTTGGCCGTCTGGAGGCAATTCCAACCCTTTCGGGCCTTCTTGGAGGACGTGTTGGAGGGCTCCGTCTTGGAGGCCATCTTGAGCGTCTTCAAGGCCTCCTGGGCCGTCTTGGGGGCCTCTTGGGGCCGTCTTGGGCCTCTTGGACGATCTTTGGGGAATCAATGATTTCGGCCTTTTCGGGCATCAGGGCCGTCTTGGAGGCCATCTTGGGCGTCTTAAAAGCCTCCTGGGCCGTCTTGGGGGCCTCTTTGGGCCGTTCTGGGCCCATCTAGGAGGCCTCTTGGACGTTCTGCGGGCGATCTTCAGGGGCTCTTGGGCCGCCGCGGGTCATCGGAAGGCCGAAATCAAGCAAATGTCAAAATCCTTCAAAAACCTAAGGAAAATCTATGTTTTGGGCCTTTTTCTGGCCTTCCTGGAGGCCCTCTTGGAGGCCTCTTGGGCCGTCTCGGGCCAACTTCGAGCCAACTTCGGCCATCTTGGTGGGTTCCTGGCCCGTCTGACGCCGTCGGGGGCCGTCTTGGGGGCCTCTCTGAACTGGCTTGGGGCCCTCTTCGGGCGCTTCGGGGCCGTCTTGGAGGCCATCTTGGGCGTGTTGGAGACCTCTTCGACCGTCTTGGGGCCCTCTTGGGGCAGTCTTGGAGGCCTCTTGGGCCGCCATGGGGCCCTCTTGGGCGATCTTTGGAGCCTTGGGCCGTCTTCAGCTGTCGGAATGCTGAGGAGAAGCAAGTGCCAACATCCTTCAAAAATCGCAGGAAAATTACTGATTTTGACCTCTTCGGGACCTCCTGGAGGACGCCTTTTGGAGGGCTCCTGGGCCGTCTTGGAGGCCTCTTGTGGGCCTTTTTGGGCAGTCTCAAACCATCTTCAGGCCATCTTGGCCCGTCTTGGGTGCATCTTGGGGCCGTCTTAGCCGTCTTGGAGGCCATCTTGGCTGCCTTGGAGGCATCTTTGAGGCCATCTTGAGCCGTCTTGGAGGCCATCTTGAGCCGTCTTGGAGAATGTTTTGCGGACGTTGCGGTCGTTTGCGGGCCTGGAGCCCCCTCCCGGGACCCCGGCGGGACGCGCCGGAGCCCCAGGGGGAGTTCTTTGGGAAAAGAACCAAAACCCAAACCGAAATCATCTAGCACGCCAGGCACCCCTGCGATGGATCGACAGGGGGCGGCGGATCGAAGACGCTTACGGCGAATCACTGCGGCCCACTGCCTTTTTGGAAGCGCCTATGTGGCCGAACGTTGAGGCCAGACCTGCCAAGCTATCGGACCATGTGTTCCCCGAATCGGCTTGGAAAGCCTTCGGGGAACGCGTGGGCATCTTGAAGGTCATCTTGGCCTTCTGGAGGCAATTGCGACCCTTTCGGGACTTCTTGGAGGACGTCTTGGAGGGCTCTTGGGCCGTCTTGGAGGCCATCTTGAGCGTCTTCGAGGCCTCTTGGGCCGTCTTGGGGGCCTCTTGGGGCCGTCGTGGGCCTCTTGGGCGATCTTTGGGGGCGCTTGAAGTCATCTAGCGCGCCAGACACCCCTGCGATGAATCGGCAGAGGGCGGCGGATCTCATGGCCTTCGGCCCACCCCGCCACCGCGCCTGGGCTCTGGGCTCGAGGCGCACCTTGCCGTCGCTCGGACGTCCATTTCCCGTACACTTTTCGATTTCGTGCGTGTTTTTTTGTTTGCTCGATGGTCCAGGATGGTCCTCGAGGGCCCTCGCCGAGGAAAAAGTGCACACGTCCGAGCGATGCCAAGGCGCTGGATGCCTACCAGGGCACGTCGGGATGCCTCTCGGGGCCTCCTGGAGGCGCGCGAGGAAAAGGGCCTCTCGGGAGCCCCCTGGGATCCCGCCTCGGGCCTCGCCCTGGACAGAAAAGAACCGAGAAACCAACCAAAGATGACAACACTCTTTTTATTTCACAAACCAAAAAAAAACAAAACAACAAAAAGCTCGCCACCAACATCAACACAAACAGCAAAACAAACCAAACACTCTTTTTATTCAACGAACCAAACAGCAATTCAACAAAACAACAAAAAGAACCGAGAACCCAACCAAAAATGGCAACACTCTTTTTTATCAAGAAACAACAGAAAACTGGCCAACACACACACACACATACACACAAACAAACACTCGTTGCATCCACCCAAAGAAGTAAAACAACAAACGACTGGCCAAACACACCAAACAACCATCGTTTTTCCACCGGAACAGCAAACCAGCAAACAACTGGCCAAACACAAAAAAAAACACCTGGACTCCACGGGTCGAGGAATGCCCGGGCGGCCCCGCCCCAGGCGCTCCCGCAGGGGGGCGGGGGGGGGGGGGGGGCGGGAGGGCGGGCGGCGGCTGCCGCGGGGCCCTCCTCGGCCCCCGGGACGGCACCCACCAACCCATCCTCGCCCGGGGGACCTCCACCTCACGAAACCGACACCCCGGGGAGGCGGCGGGGGGCCAGCGAGGAACCGGGGGAAAAGCACCCCGCCGGGAGCCCGGGGACCCCAGCGAGGCGGGAGGGAGCGGCGCGCGAAGGGGGGGGAGGAGGGGAGGCGCGAAGGAGGAGGAGGAGGGAGCAGGAAGGGCGGAGGGAGGAGGAAGAGGAGGAGGAGGAGGATGAGGGAGGAGGAGGAGGAGGAGGAGGAGGGGGTGAGGAGGGGGGAGCGAGGAGGAGGAGTAGAGGAGGAGGAAGGAGTAGGAGGAGGAGGAGGGAGAGGTGAGGAAGGAGGGAAGGGGCGGGGAGGCGAGGAGGGGGGGGGGGGGGGGGACTTTCTCGCGAGGGGGTGACCGGGGAGGGGCGCGTGCGCGCGGAGGAGGGGCCATGGGGCTGGATGGGTGAAGCAAGGGACGAGGGGAGCGAAGGGTGAGTGAGAGGGAGCGAGTAATGAGGGAGCGTGGAGGGAGAGAAGGAGGGAGCAGATGGGGCGGAGAGGACCGGCGAATGAGCGGAGGGCGGGGTCGGTGTGGGTCGCGGGGGGTATGGGGGGGGCGGGGACGGCCAGAGGGAGGGGCGAGGAGGGGCGAGGAGGGAGCGAGGGAGCCGAGAGCGAGGGGGAGCCGAGGACAGCGAGGAGGCGAGGGGGCGAGGAGGCGAGAAGGCGAGGAGGCGAGAAGGCCAGGGGGCGAGGAGCGACGAAAGGGGAAAAAAGGCGCGCCTTCGCGAGCAGCCGAACACCAGCGTGCCAAACCTGTCTTGTCTCGGTGCAGCGCTGGGGCCCCAATGGGCAGGCAGTCTGCAGCCCGAAGCACCGCAGAACGGGGAGGCCACAAATGCCCCAGGATCGATCAGCGTCGAACCGGGCAAGCGAATCGAATCAGAATGCGGATCGGGCCGCATCGGCACAGAGTCGAAATCGAATTGGATCGGCTGCGCCAGGATGCGCGTCCGCGCCAGTCAAGCACCGCGCTGCATTGGATGGTTGTCGGGATGTCGGAAGTGAACCGGACTGGGCCAGCCCGAATCGAGGCCGAACAAGATCGATCGGATCCAAATGGGCCCTGTTCGAGGAGTGCGACCTCAAAGCGCCTGTGCCCGCACTCTTGGTCTCCTTCGTCTTGGGGCGCTCTTCCTGGGGCTTTCTTGGGGTCCTCTTGGGCTGCATTGGAAGTCTCCTGGGTGGGGCCTCCTGGGGCCATTTTGGCATCCCTTGGGGCCACTGGGTGCTGTTTTTGGCGGGTCTGGAGGCGGCCTAGGGGGGTCTAGGGGCCATGTTGGGACGGCCTTGGGTCATCTTGACTGGGTGCTGTTTCTGGCGGGTCTGGAGGCGGCCTAGGGGGGTCTAGGGGCCATGTTGGGACGGCCTTGGGTCATCTTGAAGATGTTTGGTGGTAATCTTGGAGGCCAGCCAGGATGCTCGGGGCCTCCTGGAGGCATCTTGGGGCAGTCTTGGAGCCCTCTGGACGTCCCTTTTGACCATGTTGGAAGCGTTTTGCGAGCTACTTCATGGGCCAAGGAACTAGCACTGCTTTCACACCAGACGCTCGCTTTGTCCAAATTGTAATACAATTACGTTGGGTTCCAGCCTCGCCCCTCACACCCCGCCGAGCAGTATCACAGCCGGCTGCCGCTGCTCACCCCTTCTCGCAAGGCGCCGCTCCCAGCACGATCTACGGCTATCACTGCGGGCTTCACCTTCGCCCCGAGGCTCTCGCAGCGCGGCGCCGAAGCTGCGTTCAGCCAGCAGCCCCAAGCTTCGCGGCCATGGTCCGCCCGCCCTTCTCGCACGCGCTGATCCCAGCGCTGTAGCTGACTAGGGCTGACCCGTGGACTCCGTCCACGACATCTTTCTGGAATGGTTCTCGGAGGAACGGCGCAGATTGTACCGAAAATCTACAAACACGGCGGCGGCTCGGGCGGCGGCAGCGAGACCGCGCCTTCGTGTCCGAGCTCTTGCAGCGCTGCAGCAGCTTGGCCCAGCGCACTGCTCGTTCACCCCCCTCCTATTGAGGACAGTTTCGAAGTCTCTCGGGGATGTGCGTCGAAGTCGAAGCCCATCTGAGGCGTCTCAGGAGCGCTCGGGGAAGGGCTCGGGAGGCCATCGGGGAAAGCCACCGAAAGCGCCGGGGAGGCTCGCAAGGATCTACAGGGAGGGCCCAAGAGAGCTTCAAGAAAATTTGAAATCCAGTGAACTCTTAAGAGAAACCGCTGTTGGGTCGGCCATCACCTCCGGGCGCGCCTTGATGGTGCGATCCAGTCGCATCACCGCCAACGGGAGGGTTTGTTCGCCATGTCCCATTCTGTTCGCCCAGAGGGTCTGTGGAGGCCTTCGGGCGAACAGAACGGGACAGGGCAAGGAATGGGGAAGACATGTCCGAATCTCCTGGGCCCCCCAGATGCTCGTCCGAAGAATGCGGAGAGGTCCCAGGGTCATATCAATTGGCTGCTGTCCCAGGGGTCCGGTCTGCTTGGCCCGAAGAGTTTGCTAAGGCCCCTGGGGGAACAGAATGGCACAGCATATCGGGCAAAGGGGGGCGGTAGCTGGCCTGTCAGACCCGGCGTTCGTCTTCTGCCCAAGCGGCGCGGGGCCCACAAACCCCAGCGTTGGCGTCCCGCTGGGATTCCTCTTGTTCGCCCACAGGGTTGGAGGAGGCCTCCGGGCGAACAGAATGGGGCAGGACAATGAATGTGGGAGACTTGTCGCAAGCTCCCAGCCCCCCCAAGTGTGCGCCCGAAGGGTGTGGGGCCGCGTTGGCTCCCTCAAAGGGCCGTCTTGGAGCCGTCTAGGCCCGTCTTGAGGGCGCCGTTTGCCCTGATGGGGCCGTCTTGGTTCGTCGTGGGCCCCTCATGGGCGCGTCCGTAGGCAGTCCTGGGCCCATCGGGGTCCTCGTGGGGCTGTCTTGGAGCCGTCTGGGACCGTGAGGAGGCCGCCTTGGAGTCGTCTTGGGCCCCTCCTGTGCGCCTCCTTGGGCCGTCCTGGGCCCAGCAGGGGCCATGTTGGCACCCTCTTGGGGCTGCCTTGGAGCCGTCTTGAGCCGTCGCAGCGCGCCTTGGGTTGTGCTGGGTCCGTCTTGGCCCGTCTTGGTGCCTTCCTGGGCGGTTCCTCGGACCCTCCTGGGACTTTCTGGGGCCTCTTGGTGCATCGGACCGCCGAAACGGCGGGAAACGCAAAGGGTGTAACAGTAAACAATGGAAAATCAACGATTTTTGCCAGCTGGGACTCTCTTGTCATCTTGGCCCGTCTTGAGGCCCCGAACGGGCGCGTCCTTGGGCCGTCCTGGGCGCACCCTCCTGGGACCGTCTTGGAATCGTCTTGGGCCGTCTTGAGCGCGCCTTGGGCCGTCCTGGGCCGGTCTGGGGCCGTGTTGGCACCCTCGCGGCGAGGAAGCTCGGAGGCGGGCTCGAGGCCTTTTCGGGGCCATTTTGGAAGCTGTTGGGGCCTCTGTAGGGGCCTCGTTTGGGCTCCTTGGGAGCCTCCTGGGGCCTCTTCGGGGGATTCTTGGCGGCCCCTTGGGGCCTCTTGGGGGCCTGTTTGGGCCTCCTGGCGCCCTCTTGGGGCGGAAGGCTCGGGTTTTCGGTCCGTGGTCCCCCTCTTGGCCCCCTCTTGGGCCTGTCTTCGGGCCCTCGTGGGCCGTCTTGAGCGTCTCTTGGGTCGTCTTGGGGCCCTCTTGGGCTGTCTTGGGGCGCTCTTGGAAACCTCTTGGGCCGTTCTGGGGCGCTCTTGGAGGCCTCTTGGGCCGTCTTCGAGCGTCGGAAAGCGGAAAAGGCGAGAAGGCCAAAATCCTTTCAAAAACGTGGTAAAGCGAACGATTTTGAGGCCCAAAACCGTCCAAAACCTCCTGAGGCGGTCCCCTCGTCCGCCCCCCTCGCTTCGAAGCAATTTTTAAGCCCCGTGGCACCTCTTGGGGATCTCTTTGGGGCTCCTGGGGGCCTCTTGGGCCTCCACTGGATTCGCTGCCCTCGGTCGGCAATCGTCGATCCTACGACGACTCTCCCCAACGGAGAAACATCGAAGGCCCTCGGAGCGTCCAACATTGTTCTTTTGTGCCTTCGATATGCCGGTCGCCTCTCGTCCGCTCCCCCCCTCCTGGAAGCATTTCTGAGGCCACTTAGGGCTTCGTGGGGGCCGTTTGGGGATCTCTTGGGGCGTTTTTGCCTGCGATATGCCTGTCGCCTCTCGTCCGCTCCCCCGCTCCTGGAGGGAATTCTGAAGCCACTGAAGGCTTCGTGGGGGCCGTTGCGGAGCCTCTTCGGCCTTCTTTTGGGCCTCCTGGGGGGGCTCTTAGGGCCCTCTCGGGCCGTCTTGGGTGCCTCTTGGGCCGTCTTGGGGCCGTCTGAGACCCGCCTCGGCGCCTCTTGGGCTGTCGTGGGCCGGCTTGGGCCGCTCCTGGGGCCGTCTTGGGTGCCTCTTGGGCCGTCTTGGGCGCCTCCTGGGCCGTCCTGGGGCCGTCCTGGGGCGTCTTGGGACCGTCTGGGGGCCCTCCTGGCCCGTCTTGGGGCTCTTTGGGGGTCCTCTTCGGCCGTCTTGGAGCGGTCGGGGGGGCTTCTTGGGCCGTCTTGGAGCGTCGGGAAGCCGAAGAGGCGAGGAGGCCGAAAACATAGAAAAACTCAATAGAAATCGACGATTTCTGTCGCTCGGGGCCCTCTTGGGAGGCCTCTTGGGAGGCCTCTTCGGGCGTCTTGGACGCCTCTTGGGCCGCCTGGGGCGAATCTCGGGCGTCTTGGGCCCATCTTTAAGCGTGCCGGGGCTCTCCGGGGCCGTCTTGGGGGCTCCTGGGGGCCCTCCCGACATGTCCTGGAGCCTGCCTGGGCGGCCCGGGGCGGCCCGGGGCCAGCCCGGGGCGGTTTTGAGACATTGGAGCCTGCGCCCTTCTGGCACGCACTGGGCCCTGCAATGTAGTAGAGACTAGGGCTGACCCGCGGCGTTCCGGCCGCGGAATCTGCCCCTGCAATGGCGTAGAGGAGGAGGAGGAGGAGGAGTGAGGAGGAGGAGAGGAGGAGGAGGAGGAGTGAGGAGGAGGACGTGGACGTGGGGCGTCTCCGGGGCCTCGCGGGTGAGGGGAGGTTGGAGGGGACGGCGTGGATGGAGGCGGCGGCCGCTGGAGGGGGAGGTGGGCGAGGGATGCAGACAAGCAGGCCTGAAGGCAGGAGCGCGGTGGTGGAGGCGGTGCCCGTGGAGAGGCCTCCTCCTCCTACCTTCCCTCCCTCCTCCACTCCTCTCACTCCACCTGCCCCTCCTTGCCTCCTCTTTGGCCTCCTCCGCTCTCCTTTCCTCCTCCTCCCTCCTCCTCCTCCCTCCGTCCTCCTCCTCCTCTCTCCTCCTCCTCCTCCTACTCCTCATCTCCTCCCCCTCCTTTTCCCCCTCCTCCTCCTCCCTCTCCTCCTCTCCCTCTCCTCTCCTCCTCCTCCTCCTCCTCCTCCTCCTCCTCCTCCTCCTCCTCCCTCCTCCTCCTCCTCCTCCTCCTCCTCCTCCTCCTCCTCCTCCTCCTCCTCCTCCTCCTCCCCCTCCTCCTGCGCGGCGCCGCGGGGGGTCCACCGCGGGCCGGTCGAGGCGTCGGCCCCCCCCCGAGGCGCCCGGAGGCGTCGCCGGCGCGGGGAGCAGAAGGAAGGCCCGGGCGAGCGGCACCCCCAAGGAGAGGGGGGGGGAGGCTCCCAGAGGCAGAGGAGGGGAGCCTCCACCCAGGAGAGAGGGGGGGGGAAGGGGGGGAGGGGAGGGGAGGGGAGAGGAGAGGAGGAGAGGAGAGGAGAGCCTCTCCCCCGAGGAGGGAAGGGGGGAGGAGGGAGAGGGGAGGAGGGGAGGGGGGCGAGCAAGAGGAGAGAGGAGAACGGGGAGAGGGAGCTTTCCAGGTCCTTGATTGGGGTCGGGGGCTTTCTTTGTGGCTGCTGCCGTGTAGGTCCCCCTCTGCCACCCCTAATCGGCAGCAGGAGGGGGGCGAGGCTTGCTGGTGTGTGCAGCAAGGAGAGGAGGACAGGGCAGGTACGGGGAAGGAAGGCGAGCAAAAGGAGGAGGAGAGCGGCACTGGAGAGAGGGGTGCTGAGGTATTCAGAGGAGGAGGAGGAGAAGGAGGAGGAGGAGGAGGAGGAGGAGGAAAAGGAGGAGGAGGAGGAAAAGGAGGACCAGTGTAAACCCAAGACTCATCAACGATATTAGGATCAATCCTCCCTGCAAGCTCCCTCGTCGTTAGGCACTACAAGGATTCAGTTTCAGCCACGAGTCAAACGGACGAGGCGCCTGGACGATCCTGAATCGCGCCAGAACGTCATTCATAGACCCTCAACACCGCGGATCAAAGTAATGGTTGCGCCTTGACAGTCCTGGAGCGTTCCAAACGCCATGTCTGAGACGTGAGACATGGGAAGCCGCAGAACTCTTGCAACTGCTTGAAACGAATGCAAGCGGCGCCTACGCGAGAGCCGCGTTTTGGAAAGGAACCGCCCTCCATCCGTGAAGCTCGTGCAATGTCTGACAGCGAGCTGACGCGGCGCTCGGGCGAGAGCCACGCTGTAAGCACCACCCGCCCCCTCAATTATGTGAAGCACTTCACATGCTTAGAGCGAGTGCGCGCGGAGCTGAGGCGAGGATCAACTCGTGAAAACCACCCGCCCTCGATCTGTGAAGCTCTTGCAGAGGGTTAAGACGTGCGCGCGCGGAGCTGAGGCGAGGATCAAAATGTCTGAAAACCACCCGCCCTCGATCCGTGAAGCTCCTGCAGAGGGTTAGGATGCGCGCGCGCGTGGCGCGAAAAGCGAGAGCCACGTTTTGAAAACGACCCGCCCTCGACCCGTGAATTGCTTGCCTCGTTTTGAGCGAGT